CGGGGTGCGTGACCGACATCATGCAGTAGCCCCCGCGGGAGTAGTCCTCCCGGAGGCCCCAGCTCAGCGCGTTGAAGTGCGGGAACTGCCAGGAGTAGAGGATTCCGCCCAGAAGAAAGGCTCCTGCGAAGACAGGGAAGCAGAGAATGTGGGGATTTTACCAGGGCACCACCTCCCACCCGAAGGCCTCCGGCCCCAAAGGGCTCTGCCCGATTCCACCTTCAGGGGGGCCCTAGGCCCTGCCAGCTGGGTTCTCACCTCCACTCAGCCCGCCCAGCCTGCTCTCCACAATCTCCCTGCCCCAGCTCTCATCTGGGTGGGCAGGACGCTGGCATTGGGGGGCAGGGTGCCCTGCTGCAGGGCTTAGAGTGACACACTTTGAGGCTCCTGCCCCCTCCTCTCCTCCCCCCCCCCCCCCACAAGAGAAGCCCCTACAGCACAAGCAAACGCCTTGGGAGGGGCTGCCCCTGGGCGCTCTGTGTTGGGCTCCCGGCTGTGCCCACACGCTGGCCAATAGAGCATCTTTAAAAGAAGGGATGTGCATTGCTTAGTAGACATAATGCCAGTGGGCACTCAACAGACTGAAGTATTTCTGTGGCCAGTGAGTACCTTTGGGGAACCAGGAGGCACAGAAGGGCAGGTTGGACCGTCCGGGTACAACGGAGTCACACACGGGGGAGAGAAGGAGACATTTTGCAGTTTGATGGGAAAACAGAATGGTCTCTGGGCTTTAAAGGGACCAGTGAAGAGAAAGTGCTCTCAGCGGTTCTCAGGGCCGGGCCGCTTGGAGGCTTCTGAGCACGAAGTCCGTGGACTGGCCATCCCAGCGCCTGCGCAGCCTCCGGCCGGGAGGTCTGAGCGCAGGATGGTGTGCAGCTACGCAGCCATGCACAGGGGACAGAACGTCAGCGATGACTTAGAAGCCGGGAGGGAACAGAAGTCAGAGCCCAGGATCTGTTTATCGAAGTGGCCGAGAAAGGGCAACTCTGCCTGGAAACCAGACCTGAAAGGGTTAAAATCAGATCCAGATGGATTTCTCTCCTCCTTCTCGAAAGCCCCCTTCTTAGTGTGCCAACTGCAGGATTCTGCTGTGCTCAATACACACTTCTCAGTTATGCTTCTCCTTAAAATAACAACTTAAAAAATCATTTTCCTAAGAGTAGCTCGCTGCTTTCTATGTGAGAGGAAATGGGTATGGGTTTGGCTCATGTCACAAATGAAAGCGCTTTAGAAATCACAGCGCAGCCTTAATGGACTAATCAGAAAACCACCGCCCCCACAGTTCTCCTCGGCCGCAACTGCCGCTGCTCATCCACAGGACGGAAGACAAATTCCTCTCATCAAGATAAGGAGCTGCAACCGGAAGACTTGAATTAGTCCGGGGCTGTGGGGACCCACCTTCCCTGTGCGGTGAACACAAAGCACTCAGTTACTAATTCAAAGGCCTCCCCTCAGCCTCACGCCCACAGAGTGGTCTAGTTTTACTGGGCCGATCTGCTATAGCAAAAAATATTCATGTGCGCCCACTACGCCTTAGGTGCAGTCTGTCCCCAAGGCCTCCGCTGGCTTGGGGAGACAACACAAGGTATTACAGCCCAGAGGCGGTGCTGTGGCGAGCACCCGGCAGGAAGACCAAGGTCAGCCTGGGAGAGGTCAGGGAAGGCTTCCTGGAAGAAGCAATGTGTAAAGCGGACCTGAGGATGGTCTAGAGGGTCAATGCATTCACACACACTGTGTGTCTTCTGCGACTATTAAATGTATTTTCTCGTTTTCCTATCTAACTGCAGAATCTTTGTACCTACTTGCTTTAACGTTATCTGGAAGAAAAGTCTGCTTCCTTCATTTTAATTGGGTATTTGCTGGTCTGTGAATATATGAAATACTGAGAATCTGAAATGGTGGCACGTCTGTGGGGAAGGTTCTCCCAAGGACAGCAGCTTCCTGAGACCACGGTGCCAGAGTCCCAGCCACAGGCCACACCAGAGACGATGGGGGAGTCCGGGCATGCTCACTGCCCTCCACACAGAGAGGACTCAGGAGCACGCCTGCAGGGCTGTGGTCAGCCGCTGGGGGACCCTGACCTCGGGCACCCGGCTCTGACCAGGGGACAAGGCTCAGAGCGTCTTCCTGGTGACTGAACACACACGGCCTTCTGAACTCTGAGCACCTGTCAGTCACGCCCCCACTCTGCCGGGAGAACCTCCGTGGCCACCTCTGCTCCAACCTGGAATGCTGCCGGGCGTGCTCCTGGCATTCTGCTGGCAGACAGGCCCAGGCAACCCAGCTGACTCTTTCCTAAGAGAATGGAGCTCTGACTCGTTCTTCCCAGAAGCGTTCCTCTGGCAGCTTCAGCTCTACTCTCTGCTGCCTGGGGGCTTACACTCACCCTTCCCCCCAGGCCACTCACTGTCACTCAGTGTCCGAGCATGGCCTTGAAGAGGATAAAGAATGGGGCTCCAGCGAGTCTGGTACTGGGTTCGGGGGTCTTCCCTTCCATATAGTAGGCTCCCTCTCCCCATGGCCCTCACAGCCTCTGGTCCATGACTGGCTACCGGGTGTGGTCATGTAAATGGGGGAGGGGCAGCTGGGAAGCAGCGCCACACCCAGAGCTTGGTGCTCAGGGATCTGGAAGCCTTTCCTTTGAGGGGAGCACAAAGGGGCCCTGAAAGAGGCCTCAGTGCTGCAACAGGTGGGAGGGCAGGCGCGCAGGTAAAGGGGAGAGGACATGGGCCGGTTTATCAGCTGCACAGCCACTAGGCAAGGCTGCCCGTCCTCTGCAATGGAAACAGTTTGCAGGGCCTGCTCCTTCCGACGGCTCCTGGGAAGCTGCCGAGGCCCAAGAGGGGCCTCGCCTACTGCACACCCTACGCCCAGCGGGCACCCGGTTTCCTTGGAAGGGAAAGACGAGAGTAAGGGAGTCACCAAGCTCTGACTCTGAACAAAGTGCTCCTCTCCTTCCCCATCTTACCCCTGGAGGGCAGTTTCGAGCACCTGTGGGTCCAACACACTCAGGTGGTCCCGAGGGACACCCACTAGCCTGTTCCTGAGCTGCGCGGCCACGGCAAAGCCACCGGGCTGCCACCAGGCACCCGCTGCCACTTCCTTCAGGAGGCACTGGCCCTGCGCCCTAAACGCTCCACCTAAACGCTCCGTCAACTGACAAGACGAGCATACCTCGGCCCCAAGCCGGCCTCCTTACACTGCCAGCCTCGGCTCCAGCAACGCATTTCCAAACGCCCTTTTCCAGCCTCTGTGCTTTCGCCTTTGAGGAGAACAGGGCTCTGAATACTGTTTGCTGTGCTAACACTCCCATGAAAACATCCCTTGTTCCCTCTGTCTTTAAAATATCATTTGTCTTAATTAATCTGAGCTCTAAGGCTAGTTATGAAAAAATTCTCACACAAAATGAACACACTCATTTTTGAGTTTGATTTTAACAGGCAGTATTTTAAAGAAAGTCTTTAAAAGTGCTTGGGTTCAACAGTGCCTGGTAAGCCTTCAAATATTTGCTGGGAGAATGAGTGAATAAATTCTCTCCATTCTATTTTCTTATCCTGGAGGGAAGGAGGTAAATAAAGTGAAACAGGACTGAACATTTTGTAGTTTACCAGCTGAGGCTAAAAACACTCATTCTCTTTTTGTTCTAAAACCATCCATCTGTGAAATATCACTTCCTGATAAGCGCCCACGCCTAAGTCCTCATTTGTAACTGAATGTTGTCTGACATAATGTTTACCACACAACATCTGAGTGACAAACCAAAGGCAATTTAGGAATCAGCTCCACAAGACTGTCACCCAGGCCCACGCCACAAACGTCCAAGACTGGGATTTACTCAAATTCAGGAAAATTATAAAATAGAATCTGAGCCTTTTTAAGAAATGGGGGTGATGGAAGGAGAGGTGGGCTTGGCAAGGAGGAGGGATGAGATTTTAATCTGAAGCCACGGGGAACTAGACAGCCTCTCGAGATAAACACTATGGAGAGGCCTGCCGCATGTGGTCCAGGCCCTCGGGGAGCTGGGCTGCCTGCTGCCCGCACTTGTCTGCAGAGCCCCCCACCCCCCACAGACCCTTTGCTAGGGCCCTGGCAGGCCACTCCGTTCTCTGCTGTCCGCTGAGAGCAGAATCAAACCCAGTACCTCCACCCCTAAGGCACCAGCTGGCCAGACCAGGGACCAGAACAGTCCCCTGCGGTGGCCTTCCTGAGTTTTACTTGGTAAGCATTTTTAATATTTTCTAGTAACAGCAGTTTAAGTTAAAAATATAAAATGCAAAGCAATTAGGCAAGTGGGAGGCCAAGGCCGAGCCTTGGAGGGAAAGGGACGCAGGTAGAATACCAGTTTAATGATGACCTTGACCTATTCTAACAATGACCTTGACCGGCAGGATAGCCACAGAGAGCGCTCCCTGTGCTGGGCTGGCACCTGACAACGTAGCCCTCTCCAATCCAACTCCACGGACAGCTGTCTGTGCTGCACCTGGGAGGGAAAGCAGTGCTCATAACTCCTGAGCAGCTATTAAGTAGCAAATACCAAGAGCCACTAACATTTATCCACGCTCACCATTCCCACGTCAGCCGTAACTGCCTTGCTCCCCCTGAGCTGGACGCCCCGCCGGGCAGACCCAGGGAGCACAGGCTCTGGACCCACCTGACTGGGGCATCTAAAACATGGAGAAACCGTCTTTCACTGTCTGACAGGGAAACAAACAAGAGCAATGAGGTAGCTGTGGGGAAAAATCAGGGCCCGATGGTGTTTTATGGAGGCAGCAGGCCCTTCAGTACTCAGTGCTCTGCAGCTTCACTGGCTCAGCAGCCACCACGTCGGGGGAAGGTGCCTCTGAACACCCTCTTCCTTGCTCGACAAACCCCTGGGTGCGCTGTTTTCTACAGCGACTGACCTCCCGTTTATCTCTGCCAACTGGATAGTCAGCTCTGCAAGGAGGACCGTCCACAGGAGGGCTGAGCTGCCTCCTCCCCATCCTGCCGCCATCTGCTGACCCTGGGAGAGGGCTTCTGCAGGCCCACAAGACCAAGTGGCAAAAGCGACGTTGCTGGGCCTCTGGTGCCCTGGCTGAGAGCCGGGGAGACAGGGCAAAGGAATGGGACGTGCTCAGGGAATCGCTGCCCTTCATTTATCCTTCCCTCCCACCTGCGCATTCACTGGTGTTCGCCAGCTGCTCTTTCAGCGGCCAGGTTGAGGCCTCAGGAGGGTGGGGCAGCCTCGAATACGGGGAGCCCTACTGGAGAGGGGAGGAGCGGCAGGGGCAGGAGGAGAAGACGCAACTTCAGCGACAGGCTTCAGGGACGGATGCCCAACCCCATGGAGAACCAGCTGCTGCACACGGTGAACTAACCCTCCAGTGGAAACCCGCTGCTTCCTGGGAAAGCCTCCAGGGGGTATCTACCTCCTTCCAATAACGTATCAGCTCCTCAGGCGGCAGCTCCTTAGATCATGTCCCTGCTTGTTCTGGTTCCATGGCTACATGCTGTGTGTACCTGCTCTTTCCTCTCCTTGGAAAGCACGTCCCCTTCGCAGGTGTGCTCATCATGACTTAATCCAGAACCCGCTGTGCTCCAAGGCCGCCTCAGACCAGCTCGCAGCCCTCTGCAGACCCCTTTCCTGCTACGCCTTCGCTCAATTGTCTGATTACCTGCCTGCCTCGCCCTGAAGATGGAGTGAGGCATGGTTTCTGTGAGGACTGGATTGTAGTAATATTTGTGTCTCTCAGTGCCCAGCACACAGCAGGTCCTCAACTGATCCCTGCACAATGAAGCTGCATAAGAAGGTGGAGGCCCCAGCAATTCCTAGTCCAGGCTAGTCCACTGTGAGGTGATCACCCAGCCTTCTCACACCCTCCTCTTCCTCACTATCAGGGTAGCTCAACACAGTATTCCTCACAGGCTTCTCCTAAGTGATCCGTCTTGGGAGGTTCAAAGATAACAAGGCTTGGAGATACCACTGAAGAAGGGCTTTTTCAAGCAAACAAGTCCCCTAAGATAGGAACTCAGATGAGAGATGTAACCTCTGTGGCTAATACAAATGACACCACTGGTGCATCTCAAGTAATGCCATCTGCCCATGCCCTCTGCCTAACCCCTGGGTATTTCCAGGTATTCTAACAGCTGGAGCCCTCCGGGTCCTGTCTCAGTGTGGTCTCCGCATGGGGCACCAGCAGCAGCACCACCTGGGGACTTGTTAGAAATGCACATTCCCAGGCCCTGGGCCCAAATGGGAAGTCCTGACCCAGGCCCAGGATCCATCTCAGCAAACCCTCCAGGGGTTCCCCGGACACTGAGGTGTGAGGACCACTGTGTTCAACTTTGGCGAGACCACAGTACAGACCCCACAGTGACTATTATTACAGTGCAAACTCGCCTGAGGAATGGAGCGCAGGTTCACAGGACATCCATCCGTCCTTCCGGGCGGAACTGTCCGGAGGGTGAGCATGCTCCAGGCCTGCGCTGTCACACAGCAGCTGTCAGCCACACGTGGCTGTGGGCGTTTGGAACAGGGACAAAGGGACTGAACAGACTTCTTACATTTAAATTGAAAAGTAAAGAGCACATGTGGCTAGTGGATGCCATATTAGACAGTGCAGTCCTAGAAGATGGCAAAACGACCTGAAAATCGCATTCCACCTCATTCCTAAAATCCTAGCAACAAAGATCTTTAAATTAGATCCCTCGGGTGCCTACTTCTTTGTATCGCTTCCTCCTGTGTGGTGCCTTTACACAGCTCATGCTCAGTAAATATTGGCAATTGCCTGTGGGTTAACCTAGTTTTGTCATCTGTTAAATAGAAGGCATTTACGCACCGATTCATTCATTCAAAGATCTCCTGCTTATCTCAAGTTTGCTCTATCAATATAGTGCTTTGAAACACTTTTTGAAGCATGATTAAAGTAGCATTATTCTTTCTGTGCCAACTTGATAGGCTTTAGGTGCACAGTGTGACCCCTGGTGCATTAGAACTGGGGGCAGTAACCCCCGCAGTGCTGCGGGATCCGCACGCATCATTAGGAATTATAGAAAAAGGGTGACAGACGTCAACCTCACACGCTGCTGAGGAATTGCTCTGTGGTTGCACAGCCCTCTCATGCATGCCGGGGTCACTTCAGGTAGATGAAGGGTCTCCTTTTTCAAGATAAATATGCATTTTCATCTTGCTACTTGAAACAAGGCACAGCCTGGCTCTTAGCTGTCCCTCATTAATGAGTTTGTATGTAAATGATTAAATCTGGGTCACAGAAAGACCGTACTCCAAGTTTTATTTAAAATATGTCTATTAGCAGCTTAGCCAAGTCCAGACCGTCCCTGAACAACAAGGGCTCCTGCGGAAGGTGTGCACTGAAGCGGGAGGGAGGGCTTTTGCAAAGCTCTCTCTCTCTCTCTCTCTCTGGCCGACTCTGCTGAGGCTCCCACTCTCACAGGAAGCTGCCTGGGAGTGTGACAGGGGCACCGAGCCCTCAGCAAGAACCTGGGTCCAAGACCCCACACAACCGAGTGACCCAGTTCTCCTGACCTGGATTCGACTGCCTCCCGTCTCCAATGATACCTGTCCTGCAGCTGTCATACCTGACCCTGGTGCCGCCTGGCCTGGGATTTCCAAGACCGAAAAGGCAGCTGTGGGTGCCTTGCTCTTTCGTGCAGGTGAGAGGAAACTGAGGAGGGCCTGGCATCCCTGGCTGGCCAGGCAGGTGGCTTGGCGCCGGGCATCTAAGTGGCAAGCAGCACTGCCTGGTGTGGATGGGGTGGCACGGGAGGCTGAGAGCCTGCGAGTGGCTGACTTTCTTTTCCGGCCCCACCTGGCATGACTGGGAAATCACTTGAAAGGTATGGAGGGCACAGGAGGGGAGCTGGGTTAGGGGGCCGAGGGAGTCTGGACCAAATCAAGGTTGAGACTCCAGGCAGAACTGAGGAGGAGGAATCTGACCATGAGTTTGGTGTATGCAGGTTACCCTTTAAATTGTAACCTGGGGAGAACTCGGACATCATCTAGTCCATGCGGTCTCCCCTTGCCCGCCTCACCCCAGGCAGACATGACGATACACCCCACCAAGCCAGGAGCCCCTCGCAGGCTTCAAACCAGGTGACAGCTGTTGCTCCATTTGCATCCCAATAAGGTCTCATGACCTTTCTTGATCTGTATTAACCTGCCCACTGTATGAATGAGGAAAACAAATACAATTCATTTAATCCTCACAACGCGATGAGAAGGGACCATTACTGGCCCCATGTGGGGGAGATGAGGAGACACCAGCATAAAGGGGTCAAGTACGTTCTGAGGGCCCAGCTGTCAGGGGGAGCTGGGCTCCCCCCGCGCCCCGCTCCAGGCACGGTGCTCTGTGGGGAGGAGACTGGCCGGCTCCGCACAGACCAAACAAGTGCGTGCCTCTTGGAATGCTGCATCTGTAGATTCATGGAAGGCCGACATCTACAGGATATTAAAACCATCCTAAGAGATAATCATGGCAAAGGTGTAAGCATCTTTGTAAGCTTGCCAAATCTGAGCCTCAGAGCTTTTATAAAGTTTCAGAAATGTGGCTTATGGGGCAACGGTTTATGGTCAATTGCCTTTTGATCTCTCATGTGAAAAATATGTACTTACATATATTGCAGGAAACCTCACCACTTCCTAAGTGTCGGGCAAAAACACTAATTACTTGACTAATTAGACTGTGAAACTTCCCTTACAGATGGTAAAAACGGGCTATTCACCCCACAAATTTAGTTGTGACATACCACCAAAAAAATGTGGAAATGTCTCAATGGTTTTACTGTAGACAGCATGAACAATTTAAGCAAACCATATAAAAATAAATGAGAAACTAATGGAAATAGTCTGTTCTTTCAGAGGGGAAACACCGGGTCTGTGGGAGGAAGGAGCTAGTGCCGCAGGCCTGCCAGCGAGGGGCGGCGGTCCCGGTGAGTGGAGGCCTGCCAGGCACCTCCTGGTAGGACGCCCCCAGTGAGTCCCCGGGCTCCGTGGGCACTTTCTTTCCACTGCACTTGCTGCCGCAGGCTGAGGTGCTCGCCTCCGGTTTCCTCCCCGCTCTTCCAGTTGAGAGAGAAGCCAGGACAGTCTCCGTGAGCTGTGTGCACACTATTTCAGCCTGCCCCTGCGCGCACTGCCCACAGGGCCCAGTGAAATGGACTCTAACACCAAGCCCTGCCGTCCGGGGCAGGAAGCGCCTCTGACCAGTGCGTGCTAACGCTGCAGGGAGAGCCTGAGCGCCTGCCCCCGCACCTGCCCACGAGCCCGCTGAGCGGGCGGGACACACTCACCAGCATCTAGGCTGCCAGTAGCTGCTGTCCAGCCCATGACGGGGGGGATGGCGCCCACCACGGCTCCGACCCACGTGTTGGCAATGCTGACCCTCTTCAGCGGGGTGTAGCAGCAGGTGTACAGGAAAATGTTGAAGAGCCCCAGGGCTCCTGTGAGGGGGTTCACCCCCCAGGTCAGAAGGGCGACTCCTGGGACAGCACAGCAAGCGGCAAAGGTCACAGCGAGCAGCGGGCTGCAAGAGAGCAGAGCATAGCGGTCACTTTCAGCGTGAACCCGGCAGGGATCGGAGCTGACGGAACCCGGCAGGGATCGGGCAGCACCCACCCATCCGAGGAAGCCAGATGGGAGCAGGGCTGGCTCCTTCCTGTCTGGGCATCTTCTTCACGAAACTGGAAAATGTAAGGAAAACTGCCAAGTGAAGCTGCAATGGCAATGATGACCGCAAGCCTCATTCTCAACAGTCTACTTTTTCAGAGTACACTTTGTGCAGAATCTTGTGGAAGACTTTGAAGTGCACATAAATTGGATGTACTAGTTTCTGATAATATGCATGTTCATTTATTCTTTAAGAAACCTGAGGTCACTCCACTGCCCCCCCTCCCTATAGAAGTCAGGCCGGGGCCTCTGAGGACACCACCCAGCAGGCTCCACACTGCGCCCACTGGGAGGCGGGAGTCACGGGTGTGCAGCTTCTCGGGGGCTCAGGTCTGGCAACGGCTAGTTCCCCAGGAAGACAACCTTTCCCCGCCATGGGAGGCAGCACCACCCTCCATTCCCAGGGCTGCAGGTTCCCAAGGCCGGAGGGAAGCCCTGTGCTCCCAACCCTGCCCCTTGAGGAAAAAGACTATGACAAGTCAGGACTGGGAAGGGGGTTGGGAGATGAGGAGAGCGCCAGCTGGAATGCCCGGTGAGTCAGGAAAACAGAACCGAGAGCTGGGAGGGGCTTGGAGAAGTCCAGCTCCCACTGGTGTGCTGAGCGCTGGGCCTGGAGGCAGCTCCCAGCAGATGAGAGTCTGGATGGAGCGGAGAGCCTACCAGGGACGCGCTGCTGTCCAGATGCTTGAGATGGAAGGCCCGTGAGCTACCCCGAGACTCCTCGGCACATGCAGTCGGAGGGAGAACTTCCTCTGTCCCGGCCACCGCTCCTAAATCTTGTCAGCTACTTCCTCAGCCCTCACTCGGCACCCTCAGTCTTTATTCTGTTCCCCACCCCCCCCAAACCACTCCCACTCTGGGTGCCATTTCTGAATCCGCCTTCTGGCCCACTGTCTCCACTCCTGCTAGAGAAAGCCCTATAACCGACCAATTCCTCTCCCCTTTCTCAAGTCTCCAGATTCACCCTGGCCCCTAATGCCCTCAGCAGTGGCAAATATCCTCATCTTTACTGCCTGACCCTTCTCCCATTTTGGGGGGGAGGGGACACCATCTCCATTTTTAAAGATAAACTCTACTTTTGCTCTAATTTAATCTCCTCCCAAACCTGTCTTTATCTTCTAACTCCACTATTGGCCTTTTGCATCCTCTGAACAATTACTTTGTTCCTATTTCCCCCAAAGTTCTTACTGTCCCTCTTCAAACCCACACATGCTGATGAAGCGACTGCACAGGGCTCATGCCTCCAGCCTGGTTTCCTACCTGCCTGCACCCCACCCCACCTCTCCCACCCTCTGCACAGGGCTCATGTCTCCGGCCTGGCTTCCTACCTGCCCGCACCCCTCCTCTCCCATCCCCTGAAACCACTTCTCACTTGGTTTTCAGATATGGTGGGCAACATAATTTCTCAGAGTCAAGTTTAGGACGGTGCCTGTGTTGTTCCACCTCGTGTGCCCAGACTGAGATGGCTAAAAAGCAGTGCAAATATTATAACTGTTGTTATTCTTTCATAATGTGTTTTATAGTTTATAAGGACAGATTTCCCCCTTCCTATGGGATTCTACAAAGCAGGTTTTATTTTGGGTGGGAGAAAAATGTGGATCATAAACACTTTTATTTTTCCTCAGGTGGACCTTGTGTGAAAAAAAAGGTTGTTCCTTCTTTCTCCAAGGTCTGTGGGAGCCAGTTGTATTCAAATTGTGAAAAGCCCCCTTAGAAAAGCACACCTGAATCTAATTTATCGTGATGGGCAACTGTATGTGGAAGCTTAATTTCTGACCCTCCTGGACATCACAGGAAATCATGGGGCTTACTTTTGGTGTGTAAACCAGTGTGCTCAGGGACACGAATAAGAACAGAGGAGGTTGGTGAGGCCTGTGGAGGACATGAGCACACCTCCCAGGGAGCAGGTCACTCCAGCACCAGCCCCTCACAGACCACCGCCCCCTGGCCAGCCCGACCCTGGAACCTCAGGGCTTCCGCACGTTATGGGCAAAGGTGCGCCAGTTCAAACTCTGTGAAGTTTATTTCCATGATGCTTTATTTTTCCTAAAACATGGATTATAAAAGCAATATATGTTCATCTTGGAAACACTGAAACTATAAAAAAATCACAAAGAAGAAATTCTAAATTGGTTATTCAGGGAAACATATTGGTTTCTTTCTTTCTAGCCTTTTCTTAATAACATATCTACCTAAAAAATAACCGAGAACATACTGAATTGTGGTTTTGTTACTTACTTAATTTCAATATATCTTAATAATTTCCCCATGCCATTAAGAATTCTTTTACATCATCATCATTAGTTACACAGTGGCCTATTCTATGGCTATACCACAATTAATTCCATCTCTAGACTCTGTTTGGATACTTGGTATTTTTCCATTTCTTTACATAGAAAAAATGTTGGGAGGAATACCTTACAGACAGACTGCTATTCACAGAGCCGATCAGGATACATTCTGAGGGCAAGTTTCTAGATGTGCGATTGTTAAGCCAGACTTTAGGCATTTTGCACGTTTTAGGGGTTCGGACTTGCACCACCCATCTATACTCCGGAGTGTACACTGGTTTATACTCCACGGGCGGCATCACAAGGAGCCTGTTTCCAGGACCCGTATCAACACTGGGAATGGCATTAAACACAAAACAAAAATGAACCAAGTGAAGCCTGTGTATTGAGACAGTCTTGCCCTCATTTTACAGATGAGACACTGAGACTCACTAAGGAATAGCTCAGGAGCAGGACCTGGACTCAGGTCACTCGCTGGCTCCCTCATTTTGTCCAAGCTCCCCCAGTGGGGGGCACTGGTGCAACAGGACTCTCTGATTCACTTATTTCTTGGGTCTGCTGCAAGCTGGGACCTTCAGGCAGCTTTCTTTAGCTGGGAGGCGACTCCTGTTGGGTTTGAAAGTTCCTTCAGCACTAGCTGGTTCGGCTCAGTGGATAGAGCATCGGCCTGCAGACTGAAGCGTCCCAGGTTTGATTCTGGTCAAGGGCACATGCCTGGGTTGCAGGCTTGATCCCCAGTAGGGGATGTGCAAGAGGCAGCCGATCAATGATTCTCTCTCATCATTGATGTTTCTATCTCTCTCCCTCTCCCTTCTCTAAAATCAATAAAAATATGTTAAAAAGAAAATTCCTTCAGTTCACCCCATTGTACCGATAGCCTGACTTTCTACTGCGCTCCCTGAGATAAAAATGATTGGAAAGCACTAAAAAAGCCCAGATAGAATATGGGAGCTGGCAGACAGGTACCAGGCAGCAACAGTCGGGAGTGTCAGCAGAGAACATGGCAGCCTGGGAGACCGATGGACAGAGTGGGCGGAGGGTGCACAGGGAAGGGTTTCAGGAAACTGACCTGCAAACTGAGACCTAGCGGATGGGTGGGTGGGAGATGGGCAACAAGGGCAGAGAGGCGGGGTCCAGGCAGGGAGCCAGCAGGGCAGGGTCCACCCGCCTGGAGTGCAGTGTGGGGTGGGGAGGGGCAGAGAGCAGAGGTCAGGAAGGCCAGGTCAGACACCTAACACTGCCTCTGGGCACAGGCAGAGCCAGCAGTTTTAACTGGGGGAAGAAAAGAGCAGACCTGCTTTTCAGAAGGATCGCTCCACCTGCCAGCACGGCCAGCAATGGACATGCATCGTCCGCCTCACAAGGGAAATCACGTCAGACATTTTGAGGAGAATCATGGACACACTGACACGCAATGTTTATCAAGTGCTAGCTGACAGGAACAGAATTCGCCCAGCCAGCTCTCTAATCTGCCATCTGATATTCCCAAATATGCTGGTGGCGCAGAGCAAGGCAGCAGAGCAGGCGCCCTTCCCTGGAGGCTCTTAGGTAGAATCACAGGTGGTGGCCCTGGTTTGCATTTTTAGATTGATTATTTTTGGCTCTATTTTATCTCTCCCAAGTCTTTTTATGAGGTGGTTTTAAAAAATATATACATATATTTTTAATTGATTTCAGAGAGGAAGGGAGAGAGGGAGAGAGTAGGGAGGAGAGAGGAGAGAGAGAGAGAGAGAGAGAAAAACATCAGTGATGAGAGAGAATCATTCATTGGCTGCCTCCTGCACACCCCACACTGGGGATTGAGCCTGCAAGCCCAGTATGTGCCCTGACTGGGAATTGAACTGTGACCTCCTGGTTCATAGGTCAACACTCAACCACTGAGCCACGTCTGCTGGGCTTTTGAACAATTTTGTCATATTTTACAAGTTAACTGAAGCTCTGTCTAAAATAAGGTAGAGTACAAGAGTTAGATAAACAAAGGGCTTATCTTGATAAATGGCAGGATTTGTACATAATGAAAATATGTCAGTAATAGAAGCAAATTCTTTGTGAAACTGTAAGTAGAAGGAGGACTTGAAGAAATAATGGTTCTGGGACAAAGAGAAATGATATCGAGTGGATTATTTTTTCAAGTTTGATTTACCATGAAATCTTTGAATAAGGTGGTGATTAAAGTTAAGTTTAACTGTTTTAAAAGAAATCTATTCCTGATACAGAGATGAATGAGAAAAGCTCATTTCTTCCCTCAGTCCAACACAACTGACTCACCAAAGTCAGGGACAGAGCGCAAGGGACTGATGGCGATTTCATCAATGACTGATGTGGTATTTTAGCTCAACTACCCAACATGTATGCTTCCTCCCAATCACACTGCTCAGCCCTTGATCAAAAACGCATTTGCTCCTCTATTCCTAAATGGGTAAGGGAAGTATCCCAAACCTGTGGAGAAAGAGAGGAAGACAGACTAGACTGACAGACAGACAGACTTACCCAGTTATTTCTCCATTTATTTATTTTTTTAAATTCTCACATGAGGATTTTTTCCCAATTGCTTTTCAGAGGGTGG